GCAGAAAGCGCCTGGCATTCTACAGGAAATACTGTGTGATTCTGTGGGAAAATACTTAGTGATGAACAGAGAACACTTCATTAGTCCTCAGATTTTTATTGTGTATTTATAAAAGTGTACAATAATGTATGGTTTCCAAAATGTTACCTTATAAACAGCTTATACTATGTCCTATATACTGTGAACATCACACTATTTTTTTTATATTTTATAGTCTGAAACTGTTATAATAACAATATTATAAGTACACTTGATTCAGTTACTTGGAACTTTGGTCAGAAATATTAAAGAATTGCATGGGTCTTGGAAGTTGAAAATAATCACATGTTTAAGACAGTTTTCTTTTACTTCAAATTGTTCCCTTCAGTTTAATATATAGGCAAATTTTAGTGGTTATTAATTATTAAGAAGTGGTTATGATACAATTAAAATAGAGTAGATTATTGATAGGTACTTAATGCCTTGAATCATGCAATGGTTACCTTTCCAAATTAGACCATCTCTCTTCATAATTTGTAGAAGAATAATATACTAAGAACATATGAGGCTTGATTATATATAATTCCTGAGTCTGGACAGATAAGTTTTTTGCTTTTCTTTTTTCCACGTTTATACCGCTAGTATAATAGTAACAGTATCATATTTGCATGCAGTGTTGCAACTGACAAAATATTTTATCACACTCCCCAACAACCCTGTGACAGCACATTTTACAGCTGAATTTACTGAGGCAGGTTAGCTGGATCAGAGTAATTGGTAAAATTGAGCTTTGGATCTGAATCTTCTCAGCTAACTCCAGTACTCATTTCACTACATTTTATCTGTAAAGGTCTCCTTTTAGGAAGAATTGTTCACAGTCTTACAGTTTTTAACCCCAGTAACTCTAGTTGTTATCCTCATGTCTTGCACATAATAGGCAATCATTAAAGAATTGTAGAAGGGAAGAAGGAAGGAAGGAAGGATGGAAAGAAGGGAAGAAGGAAGGCAGGCTAGAAAGAAGGGAGCCCCACTGTGTGGGGCAGGATCTGGGGAGTCTGTAAATGGTGATCTTGGTGTCCAGATCCTTGGCTAAGTCAGAGAACTGTCCAGCCTCCCCAGGGATGGTCCTGAGTCCTGATCTATATGCCAGGAGAGACCAGGTCAAGAGTGAAACACACCAGAGTGTTTCATTGTCTGGTCTCAAGTTACTGCTTTACTTATACTTTCTTCCTTGTAATATTGTAGTTGCTCATATCTCAGGGAAAGTGTGTTTGAGATAAAGTATTCATATAAATGGCAAACATAAAGGTAGTAGCTTCATATTTTGCACTATCCCTAATTGCTATTCATTTAGCAACTTACAAGAAGATGACAAACTCCCGGATTATAACAAACTAGTCACGAAGTGGTGAGAGGCCGGTTTATTAAGTACCAAATGAGTGAGATCTACTTCACCTACTTCCAGGGACAACTGTGAGGGTCATCTTTTATATATCGAAACACATTCTACCCGCACAACCTTTAGCTTCACCTCTGATAAAGTCCTCCCAGCTCCCCCAGAAAGAATGTCGTTTCCATAGCTAGGTTTAAGAACCTGCTTTGTCTGTTTCATTAATTTCTGGCAGAATTCCTAAATGGAAACTGACTTAGCAATGCAGCATGTGTAAGCCAAGGAGAAAGGGCATCACTGCAAAATTTATAGATCTGCTTAAGACCGGCTGTGCACTGCATTGAACTAAGGAGAATAAAAGGAAACCTGGCAAAAATCTGAAGGGTTCATGTATCAGCATCTCCATCCCAGATTCTCCTGACAGTTACAACTTATTCCTTTGTTTGGCTGTTGGTTCAGAACAGCTGTACCTAGTCGGCTGACACTTGGCATCACCTGGGAGTTCATTACTGCTTTACAATTCCATGATCATTTTTGTTCTTGCTGCGGCTAAACGATAGAAATACTAATAAGCACAATAGTCTATGATCATATAAACATAGTTGCTACTGAATTTTCTCCAAGAATCATTTAACCATCAGATTTACCATTGCTGGCCTCAGGTGATGATCTAAGAATTTTTCAAATGAATGTGTCATAACTTGGTGCTGCAGGATAGCATTAAAAGGATAATCGTTTCAGAGGGAAATATTTTTAAAAACCAAAAAAGGGGAGATTATTTCCTTTCTTTTTAATCTTTTATGTAAATTCAATTTAGTAACGTAAACTGTATTATCAGTCTCAGGGGTAGAATTTAGTGATTCATCAGTTGCATATAACACCCAGTGCTCATTACATCAAGTGCCCTCCTTAATGCCCATCACCCAGTTCCCCCATCCCCCCCCACACACACACCCCCTCCAGCAATCCTCAGTTTGTTCCCTAGAGTTAAAGAGTCTCTTATGGTTTGCCTTCCTCTCTGTTTTCATCTTGTTTTATTTTTCCTTCAAGGGGGAATTATTTTTAGTTTTAACATACATTTATCTTAAAGTCCAAGGAATAGGTATGAGGTATCTGTTTGTTGCTTCTATCACTGCTAACCTTTATTATTAGTTTTATAATGTATATGAAGTGTCTGCTCTTGGGGGGCATGTTGGTTTCGTTGTTTTTAGTAACAGCCTCAGGATTTGTTCGGGAAGAGCCTAGTGCAGTGTTTGCTGCTCAGCTTGGGTGAAGCGTAATCCTTGGCAACCTGTCAGGGATTCAGAGACCACTGGGGTCTGCTGGACGCTCAAGAGTTTCTCTGTGGGAATGACTGGAGACAGCACACAGCAGGTGGTCCGCTCAGTACTGTCCCCTGGGGCAGCAAGGGAACCCGGCCCAATTTGTCATCCCACAGTATCCTGTCAGCAGTTAAAAGTCTTAAGCACAAAACCTTGAACATTTAAGGCAAACTTCCTCCTAGTATCTTTTAAAAGCAATGTCCATGGATGGAAATATTAATACACAGCGCCCAAGTTTTTCACATGAAGATCTAATATTGGATTCAAATGATATGTTGTGTGATCGATAGAAATGTTGTGTACTCTATGATTTTACTAAACAAAATGATGCCAATTACATTGCCCTCTACCTGACAAAGAGGTGAGGGTGTAGCTGATAATACAGGGTAAAATCACCCCTCTTCCTCCTCTCCTTAGTTCGTTTTGTTTGGTTTGTAGATCTGTGAAGGATACCTTGAAATACATTTTGAAAGGACTTTTCTTTGGAGTATTAAAAAAAAATCGACCCAGTTCTTAATTATTCATCATAATGATTCAAGAGTAACATGCAGCTTTGAAATCCCCAGATTTCCATTATCAAGATTCTTATCTGATTGATAAATACCTTCCCTACTTGCCCAGTAGTAATACCTGCTTCTACTCATTGAGTGCTAGGGTTGTGCCAGTTCCCTTACCTGGGTTATTTATGATCCCTACAAAAATCCTGCAAGAATACCATTACCATTGTTTTCAAGATGGGAAAATTGTATTCTGGGTGGCTAAGTGATACGCTCAAGGACTCAAAGCTAGTAGGAGATAAGATTTGAATCAGATTTATCTCCAAAGTGCAACTCAGCCTGACTCGTCTTTGCTGTTACCCCTAAAAGCCATGCTGAGAGTCATGAAATGGCCCCAAAACATGTCCTTGATGGGAGAATGCAAGGAAAGAAAGGCCTTACGTAATTTGGAAACCGAATAATCAGACATTGAGTATTTTTATCAGTTAGAGTAAAAATCAAAATTGGAGAAGTCAAAAACGAAACAAAACAAAATGGGGACTTGTGAAGGAAAGGAAGAAGAAAAGCCAAAGAAAATGAAAAAAAAAAAAGGAGAGAGAGAGATCAAATAAAAGTAAAAAAGGGCATCTGAGTTTCACATGCAAATAATAAAATAGAAATTGAGAAGGAAGTCAAGGAATTAAAAATCACTAAGAATGAATCAGTAGCCAGGAAAAAATTTTGTCTAGAGATACATATATATATTTTTTCTTTTTCCTGAAGATCAATAGGATCTTTCTTGGCTTGCCATAATGCTTTTGCTTTACATCCTGATAATATCAGTCATGAACATTATGTAAGTTAGACTGTTTTTGCTTGAGACTGAGCACTGCTTAACGGTGTTCCCAGTGGTGTAAGCTGGGAGAAGTTCCGGTACAAAATGCCCTTGAGTCTCAGGACCAAGAGCTTTGGCTTCATTTAACCCATGTGCCTAATGGCGGAGTCATCATTTTCAGTTTGCTCTCACATACCTGAAGTTTGACAAGTGGATATCAAGCTTATCATAGTTGTAAGCCAAAATTAAGACTAGTGTCTACTCCTAATTCAAAATGGATGAATTTTGTCATGCTCTTCTACTGTTGTAACATTATTAGACTCTTTCCATTTCCTCAAAAGTATGGTGGTAGTCAGGCATTCAACGGTGTTCTTCTGAGTAGAATAGAAATTTTGAATAGAATGGCTCCTGATCTGTATGTTAATAATACATATTTTTATTAGGAACAAATAAGCCACCTTGTATTCTTCTTTGCCATATATATACAGATATATATATAGCCATATATATGGATATCTATATACATAATATATAGAGATCTAAAAACTATAAGGTCAAATATACACATAAAATGTAATTTCCAAAATAAATAAGTAGTTGCCATTCAAAAGTGACCTTGAACTTGAGTTGCACTGACATGACTTTATATCATTATCTTTGAGCCTTCCTGGAAAATATATTTTACTTACTGGCAATTGGTCTTTTCTCTTTTCCAACTTCCTTAGAAGATAAAATATTGGTTATAAAAAATGTTGAGCCTTTTTCCTATTTCATTCTAATTAAATTAATTAACTGTGATTACCCTTTGATAATTTTATTCTATTGAATTACACCCAGAAAGTACTTCACTTGTTTGCTGTTGTTTATTAAACCTGAAAGTGTAGTGAAGTCTGCCATACCTTATGTGAACTCTTCCTTTTAAGAGGATTTAAGACTAAAGGTTGTTGAGAAGAGGGAAAGACACATGTAAACCTTCCCCTTCTTTATCTTCTATCCAGCTACGTCTACATCTACAACCGGGACAAGCCATCTTGTAAAGTGTGCAGAGAAGGAGAAAACTTTCTGTGTGAATGGAGGCGAGTGCTTCATGGTGAAAGACCTTTCAAACCCCTCAAGATACTTGTGCAAGTAAGAAAAGCAATCCTCTTTGTGGCTTATGTCCGTAACTGCTTCTTTCAGATGACTCCATGTCTCATGATGTCTTGTTGCTTCTTTTCCCGATTTTGTTGCATCCTGTTGAATAATGCTGTTTTATTTGTAGAGTGTTTTGAAAACTTCACACCATTTGTCATCTCCTCTGTTACATCCAGAATTGTTTTTTGCTTGTTTCAATTTTCTTTGTGCCTTTATATTTATAAAGTTGCTTTCCCCATGGTTTTCCTCACTGGTACCTAGAAGAGATGTGCAAATATCATAGAGGCCTATAACTTTTGAAACCTCCTTCTCCATCCAGTGTATGAATGAGGCTGTAAGATAATGTGCCTTTTTACCCCAGTGATCACCTGCAAAATGAATAGGACAACTAAAAGCAGCAGAAGGGTAGAAGATTCTTTACTTATGCATCTGTTACACTTGGCATTAGTTTATTGGTTTACAACTATTCTAAAAATGGAATTTAGGTTGCTCTCACTAATAGGGAAAAAAAAAAATTGCACGTGTTTGGAAATGCATTTAGTGTGTGTACCATCATTGTGTGTAGAAGGCAGAGTGTTCTTTCATGCACTGCCATTGTTTGGAGTTATATTTAGAATGGTGCTCTTTCTAGTGACCTGAGGAAGTTGATGCACCATTAAGAAGGATCACAGTCATTCTTTCTTAACAGGCAGAATGAAACAATGATATTACCAGTACATTAAATATTTAAACCTTGCAGTTAAAATTAGTAGGTCTTATTAAAACCACATGTTTATTGTGCCATGCCTTTTAAGTCTCCTCTTGATATTCCGGCTGTATGTGGGACATGGACGCATATAATGTGATGTGGTAAAAATGTGTAATGTCCCATTGAAATGATGAGAAATGCGTATTTATTTTTCAGTTGCCTGATGTCTGTGTCCCATTTTTCTAAAGTAGCAGTGATTATCATAAAGGAGGAAAAAAACCATGCCATCATAAAAACTACCTTCTGCTCCAGAATATGAGCTTGTGGCTTACATGTGGACAAAGAAGAGCAAGTTTGTCAGAGACACAGCTGAGCTAATAGAGCAATTAGCAAAATGGAAAAAAAAAAGGCACAAGAAATAATTAAGAAGGCCATTTCCCCTTTACATCATATAAAGAGTATAGAAATATTTATGTGCCAGTTCTAAGAAAACCTTTTATTTTTTATAAGTTACAAAGGACATCATTAAAGACACATGTTTTAAAATCATCACATCAAACAAAAATACCATTTTTGTGGGAAATGTTTTGTCACACCCTGTGCTGTTCTAGACAAGGGCTGTCTGTAGGGTGTGTCATGGGACCTCAGGTACTAAGTACAAGTGAACAAGTACCTCCCAGAACCACTTTCTTGCCCTCAAAAGCTTTTTTTTTTTTTAAGCTCTTATAAAAGAGCAGAAGTGGTTCCAAGAGAAGACAAGTTTTGGTAGTTGTGTAGCTGATTTTATCAATGAAGACAGGCAACTAATAAGATTAAATATAGTCTTTTAGAGTGAACAAAAGACTAAGAATCACAAGAAATAGAATTCTAATCTCCATTACTAAACATCTCTTTCACAGAGATAGGTAATAGCCTTAAGCCAAGATAAAACTCATAGGTAAAGGCCTTTTCAAAATTTGAAAGCAAGATGAAAATGAAAGAGCATGTAGAAAATTATTTCTTCCGGGTCCAAATTACTTCATATGACAATGAGTGTTTATTGGTTTAACAGTAATCCTAGAGATTCACTTTTAGATCACGAGTATATTGAAATCTACATACCTATAGTAAAGAATAAAAGTTGGTCAGTTTTGGTCTTTGGTTCTGCCGACTTGCTGTGAACACAACACAAACATGGCACCCCTATATTTATCATATTGAATTGAGATGAAGAAATTTTATAATCTCCTCCAAGGTTTTCTCTCATCGAAATAGAAACAAACAGAAGCTGAGAATTATAATCTATAAAATATGAGGTTCATTTATTACATGGGGAAATTTTGTTATTCCGTCCTAATCTTAGGCAAACCACCTAATTATGTTTTAATAAATCGCCTTGAAAAAAAAAAACATTGAAATTACAGGTCCTTAAGTTCTCCTTCTTTTTAAACAACTGCACCCAGATTACCTATGTCTCATACAACTACTTCTTGAGGAAAGCATCTGAGACCACTATATTTTAATTATAATAATGAAACATGATCATTTTTCATCATCGCCTTTGCAAAGATTGACAAGCTGCGTGGGTGCATCTGATAGTTTCTGAATACCTCTAAAGAACCAGCACAGTGATTTTCCACATATTAATTTCAGCTGTTCTGCAACCCTCCCACGTCCTACACAAAACATGCAATCACACAAGTGCTGTTCATTTGTTCCATTTTGGTATTACGCCAACAACCGTAATTTTTTTTCACCCACCAGTTTCTCATTAAATTTTAAGCCCAATCCAGAAAAAAAAATACTTGTATATTTTTTTAATCTTGAAGTGAAATGTTTGTTATTCCTCTAATAAATATTAAAGCAGCAAACCATGAATGAACACTCTGTATCCCCCAAGCTAATTGTCTAGTGGGTTATGCTTGTCTTCCACTTCTCAGCAGATTGGCATCATAATTTTACTGGGTTGGGTTTTGGGTTTTTTGTGGTAATTATAATCTTTCAGAAAAGTGTTAAAACGCTTATCACTGGATCTTGTTGGAAACAAAATCTTTGACACCTATGATTTTGATAACTGTTTTACCCCCTTCTGGACCATCTTTTTATTGAACCATCAAAGCAGGCTAGTGCCTTGAGGAAAGAATTAAGAGTATATTTAAAATCCAGAATATTTCAGGCCTTTTTCGTTGAATGAAAGTATTTTTTTTTTATCCTTGTATTAAAAACATCTTTAACATAAAAAAAATAATCACTATTCAGAATTGAAACAAGGACACGTAATATACCATGTCTTTTGATAGTATACTGTTCACTAGACCACATGAATAGACACAGAAAACATTTAAAAAAATGCTACATTGGCTCATCATAGTCCTGTGTACGAAGCCAGTTCATAGTTTCCATATGGTCCATCTGTCTAAAGCAAAACATTGCTGAAGCATGAGCCACATCGTTCAAAATCAACTTTATCCCATGACTCAAACACCACAAGCATGGAAGTTTCCAAATCGTCTCTCTGGTCCCCTAATCCACTGTTGTCTTCTTGGGAGTTGAAGTAGAAGACTGTATAGCAGATCTCTTTTGTCTCTCCACTTAGAACAAGGTGTTCCAAATGGATTAACCATGTAACAGTTAAACACTTCTCTGAGGAGAGGTTTGCTGGTTACTTGGACATTCCCTTGGGGACTGTGTGGGAATTTCAGCAGTGGTTCTCATCTTCTATATTGCTCTTCTCTCCATAGTAATTTAAAATCTATCCTGGGGAAAAAATAGTTACTATTCCAGATCACATAAAGACAGAAGAATCATTCCATCTTTCACCTTTTGATGCCCTGTGTAATCGCATGGTTCAAAGAAACAAGATAATTTGAAATAATGTCCAGATTTTCCTCTTTGCTTTTCCCCTTGTTCTTGTATATCAATTCTCTGAGTAGTTTCAGTAGAGAACTATTTTGGAAGATGTTGTTGTGATTTTTTTTTTAATCTAAAAATGATTTTATACCAGACCATATTTTTTAACCCATTATGTTGTCCCATGGACAGATGTGGTTTTCGCATGAGGGGATTAGAGTCTTAACCACCAATTTTGGTGAATGGTCTTGAGTCCTTTCACTTCAACTCTCTGGATGATATCTTTATGTATAATATAGAGTTAATATGTTCTCCAAATTTCTTCCCAGGGAGTCCATGAAATTAAATGAATTCATTTCTGCTAAAGTATTTCTAACTCTGGGGAAGCAAGATTTTTTTTTTACTTATAATAAAAAGTAAATGGTAGTATTACATTTTCTCTGTAGACATTAGACAAATACATACACCTGTCTTAACAGACTATGCTAGCATGTTTAAAAAAAAAAAACATTTCTTCATTTTACTTAACATTAACAGTTTTACTTGGTTTGGTGGGGCTACCAGCTAGCTTTGTAACTTTGCATTTGACAGATCATGTAATATCTCTGACCATTATCTTCCTTATAAGCAGAAACCAGAACAGAAACAAACACAAAACAAAAACCAGAAACAAAACACACAAAACTTGGGAACATGGGAGTTGCCTTCAAACATGAACTTACGATTTTGTATCATTTATGAAGCTGTGTAGTATATATAAGGGCCTATAAAAATACACATAACTAAGAGATAAAGTCACAACAAATACGTTATAATAAACTCAATAAGTGAAACATTAAACATTTGTTTATAGAACAACTATATCTATGCCAGGCATTTTTGAAAACACAGAGAAAATGGAAGGCGTGGTCTCTGGTCCCTGGGAAGTTAGTCTGTTTAGGAAAATGAAGTAGCTAAAATAGTAAATCAATTAGAGTGAATATATCCCAAGTGGTGCAGTGCTGATTATTATGATAATGAAAATTGAAAGAAGGAAGAGAAAAGACGGGAATAACTTGGAGAAGACTCTATAAACATAGCCATCACTTACGGAGTGTTTTCCATATACCCGGCAAGCATTGAGACTGCAATAATCTTTCCTGCAAGACACTGTCACATGCATAGCTAGACCAGCAGCTCCATTCTGGGATGGAAAACAGCTACAAAAAAACAGAACAAAACAAAAAAAACAACTTAGACGTGAGGACCAGTTTATGAGTTCCAAAGGCCAGGCAGATGACCTTGGACATTGTGAGAGCTAATAGGGAATATTAGTAACTTCTGGAGCAGGAGAGTGACACAGTAAATATAGAACAGATGTTTAGGGAAGACAGACTTCTGTACAGGCTAGAGATATTTGGGGACTAGGTAAGGTGGGGTGAGAAAGTCAGAGACATTAGCTAAGGTTAAAGTTTTATAAAATCCTGCAATAAAAATG